ATCAACCCCGTGACCACGCTAGCCCACCCTGCCTTCCTAGTTTGTCTCGTTGGGCGACTTGCCACCGGCTTCAGCTGCAACCTGCCTATTGCTCTCCACATGCTCGTGACGCGAAGCCACCATGCTCGCCGTTTCGTAGCTGGAGGGGCTGGTAGCGGGGGCAGAGACCCAGAGTAGCCTTGGCTTTTCTAACCTTTGATTTGAAGCCTAATTACGAATTAAGTTAAAGCCAGGTGAGGTACCTGGCCCAATGTCGCGGATTGAGTGACCGTCTTCGACCTTATACATGGCAGCAAAAAAATGGGGGTTGAGGGGTTCCAGGGTCTAGTAGTTGTAGGAGCAAAAAAAAAAATTGAGGGGTAAGTGTCCAAACATGTGCACGAAACATTTAAAATCCAAAAAGAGATGACACATAAAAGAGGGGAAAGAGTCCAAAACATGTGCACGAGACATTTAAAATCCAAAATATTGCTAAGAAATCACAAAAAGTAATGTTGAAAATACAAAACAGAACATATATAGGAGACATTTAAAATCCAAATATTGCTAAGGAATCACAAAAAATGATGTAGAAAATATAAAACAAAACATGTACAGGAGAGACATCTAAAATAAAAAGTAAAAAAGGAGCAAAAATGAGGAGAGTTCAAATATGTCCACGAGACATTTAAAATCCAAAAATAGCACGTGGACGAGACATTTAAAATCCAAAAGAGATGACACAAAAAAAAGTTCCAAAACATGTGTGCGAAACAATTAAATCCAAAATATTGCTAAGAAATCACACCCAAAAAGTGATGGTAGAGAATGCAAAACGTAGAGGTGGCATTTAACTTTTTAAAAATAAATAAATAAAGCAAAAAAATGACATGAGTCCAAACTTGTGCATGAGACATTTAAAATCCAAAAAAAATATGTGCACAATACATTTAAAATTCAAAATGAAAAACAAGATGGTAGATAATGCAAAGCAAAGCAGGTACAGGAGACATTTTAAAAAGTTAAATAGAGAAAAGGTCTATTTAACTTTTTAAAAGCTGTTTTTTATTAACTGTTTGGGTGAAAGACAACCAAAAACAGCTTAGTTTCTCCTACGCCGGTCACATTTGTTAATAAAAAACCACCTGATTCCTTCTAGATTGGTCATAGTTTTTATTCATATGCCTACATTTCAGTCTCCACAGACTTTTACTAACAGGCGTGAAGCAAATGAAAACTTCGGTCATGATATTCATGCACTACCAGATAAATGAGTCGCAAAGGGTTCTTGTCCAACAAAGTTAACCGACAATCTTTTAAATCAAACCCAAAAAAAAAACCCAAGAGATGAATCCCAGCCATGTAATCAGGCAGCACCTGCCCATTGATGCAGTGGACTAAGTGTTGAATTTTTCTTTGTTTGGAAACATGATCTATGATTTCTCTCGGTTATGTTTGGATGATCAAATCCGTGTAAACACGAGTAATATTAATTGGCATGCGTCATGTGGTTTGAACCAATGCTTCAAATAAGTTTATCTACCACCATAGTGTAACACCCGGTTTTAAGGACAAAGCCGAATGCACACCATATGTGAGCCCTGGTAATCAAACCTCACATATAGCTATAAATGAAGAGGCAGTATCAATTCACAATGCTTAATATATAGCGAACTTAGCAAAAGAGATAACCTTAGAAAGCAATCAACGGATAGACAACTCTGATCTCCGGGTGTAGACTTCACTCCACTGGATCCAACTGACTGGTTGACCACAAGCCCAACTTCTCAGGTCTCTGACAGACTGTCATCCAGCCTGAGGTGTGGGGGAAATTGCAAGGGTGAGTCCATATCGAACTCAACATATATAACACGGGGTTTATGAGGTTCAAAAGGCTGACACTAGTTAAACTGCATTTAGCTTTTAAGTAGATAGTCATATTTAGTATTAATTAGTAACAAGGTAGCACAATATTCCCTTAACACATGATCAATGAACATGAATAATAAATAGCTCAAAACAACTCAGTTAAGCATAATTAAACAAGTGCTCATCTTTGGCGTAAGAATTCCTTGGCCGCTCGTGACCGTGAGTACGGCTGATATATCAGTTTATTAAACTTTGCGCAGAGGTGTACACTTCACTGTGAGTCGTGAATTGCCCTTTCGCCCGAGGCCGCGAGCCTCTTAACCCTCTACCAAGAAAGGCCGGCAGGGTTCACTATGAAGCCTTTCAAAGGTTCCGTCTAACCAGAAAGGGCCGCAGGGTCATCGGATATAGGAACCCTCCTTCCAAAAAAAATAAAAGGCCGTTTCCATAGCTAGGCTCAACAGGACAGAGGCTGTCCTATACCCAACTCGCAGTATCCTCTAAGCCGGCTAGAAAAAGACCTCATACTGAGCTAAAGCCAGAGCCATATAGCCCTCACAGCTGTACTGTAAGTCCCGGACGATCACTTACAAATGAGGCCTTATGGAGAGGGAATTTAACCCTCCTGTTGTTGCTAACAAGTCATCTTTTATAGTTTATAGCTCAATTATTAATCAAGTATCAAGATCATGGTCAATGTTAAGCGCTAGCAAAAGTAATACCCAAATGTATATATCCCGAGGTTTCAAGGTATTCAGTAAACAATTTCTAGGGAATCCTATAAAGGGTATCAAGGTGGACACATGCATATGAAATTTAGTGGTTAAAGTGAATAGGACATCAAGGATGATCCCGTGCTTTACTTGCCTTAAACTTGCTTTACTCCCATAGCAACTTGCTTAGAGAAGCATCAACTTCATCTTCCATTCTACAGCTTTGGCACTTCAGATTTTGATCTCCAGCGCTCTTGTTCTACTCGAAGCAAGCACTACGCATAGACAAACATACAAGCAAACAAATACAGACAACTAAGAACAATACATCACACGAGATAAAACATCGTACTAAAAGATAACTAAATGCTACGGTCACTAGATCACAAGAAACACCGGTTACACAACTATCGTCAAAAGAAACGACTACCAGAGTTTTATTTTAGTATCAAAGAAAAGAAAAACCTCTACATGCTTGATTTATTTTAATTACAAAAACCATGAGGAACCTAATAATCCAGATTAGTCCAATTATGTCTTATAATTCTCAAAGTCGAGTTATCTAATTATATCTTACCTTATATATTTTATCACATAATCTATTGAGCAAGTTAAACTTTATCTTTGTAAAACAAATACGTGAGGACATCTAAATTAGTTTTATCTGACCACGTTTAGCTTTAAGAAATTTACGATTGTAAAATATATTGAAGTTGCCATTAATCTAATCAATATTTATTTGTAAAAGAAACGTCATATAATAACCTATATTGTTTTTAATTATATAACTAATAACATTTAATCAATTTGGTATTTAACTATATATGGAAGAACAAGCCGAAAAGCTACGGCGTGAACATGCTAACTTTGGAAGAATTTTCAGCGAGTGAAAGTACATATTCGATAAGTCAAATTTATATTTGAATAAAGAAAACTAAAGTATAATTAATTATATTTTAATTATAAGCACGCGATCAAATTATTAAACTTTAACTTAGCGAAAGACGAGTGCACGTGAAAATATCCAAACGAATATGATATGTCCATGTTTAGCATAGGCATAATATACTGAAACACATTTAATTTGACTTTAATCAAGTTAACAGTTAAATATAAAATGATCGACCTCGCCCTAAATTGCTTTTATTTAGAAACATGTTTGCATAATCATTAACCAATTTAATATTTAAATAAATATATTACAAAAGCATGTGGCACATAAACATCGACACGTAGACCACGTCGGCTCAAAGCTAAGCTACTAGAATGGACGTCTCACGATGAGTGTTTATATTTATGTGTATTTCTATAGTATTTCTAGATTTATTCTCGTAATGAAAAACGGCCACAAAACATACATGATGTCATCGATTGATGTCATCAAGCTAATCGGATCAGCTACGAACATGCCGAGCATGCACGGTGCTGCCATGCGCCTTGGCCGGTGATGGAGCCTCGATGATACAAGCCTCGGATTGCTGCGTTAAAAAAAACACTGGGATGGAGAAGGCACAGGCATTTCGGCGAACTCACCACAAGGAATTTTGACGATCTGGAACGAACAACGATGGCGTGGTGCTCGGAGGGATGACGGCGACTTCTTGCATGGGTTCTCCAGATGAAAAGCAAAACGAAGAACTCGACGACAAGGAAGCGTCCAGCTCCAGCAGCGGCTCGGTGAGGCACGACGCGAAGCTCGGTAGATAGCCCGGGGCGACGACGAAGCGGCGGCGGCAGATGAAGATGATGGGCGGCAGTTAGATCAGGATTGATTGGCTTAGGTTTGGGAATTTAGAAAAGAAACGATGACACATGCCTGCTATTTATATAGAATAAAGATGGCATATGAGAAACGTACGTGAGAGTCCTTGATGTACACGACTTACAACTTAGTCATCGGATGATCCAAAGAAAGAGAACTAGTCGGCTAAAAAAAATCATCATCCAGCTAAGAAAGACAAACGGATGGGTGCTTCCTTAAAAGATCATTTTTTATATTATATTATACCATCACGTTAAGGAAAGAAATGCAAGGAGCATAAAAATAGAATTGATAGGAGATGGATTAGCGAGCCGAGACAATTTCGATGACAGAAAAAAACGCAGACACACCAGAGAAGGAAGGTCGATTTACCAAACACGTTTTGAAAACTTTGCTCACTCTCAACATGAAGTCACACAACACGCTTACATCACAATAAAAATATATGCACCAGCATATATGCACAACCATGTTGCTAAGCCTATGATACATTTTAATTTAGAGAAAAATATTAGTTTGCCTATATTTCATGAGCACAAAAATACAAAATAAATCATTTTTACTCTATTTTCTAGAAGTGCAAAAATTTGGGGTGTTACACATAGCATGTTTACAAAATTTTTTGTACAACAGTACCCAACAAAACCCTCTTAAAGACTCTCATCTCAACCCTGATTTTACATCTCCATGCCGTCCTGCGCCATATTCTGCAGATCCTCCTCAGTCAACAGCGTCTTCTTGCCACCGCTTCCCGTCTTGTCATATGGCTGTGCCATCCTCCGGAGAAACTGTTGCAGAGCAAGTGTTAGAGCATCACTATGACAAGCAACAGAGCAGGTTTGGTCGATGCTAGTGATAAAGAAAGACGAAAATGCTAACACTATGATACAAAGTTAAATATACAGTGCTATTCAAGCTGTTTTAGTATTCTTATATGTAGAGGGGAAGGAACCTTGTAAGTTGTGAACACCGAACCTGGTACTATAGCTTCTGGATGATAATAAAATTGGCAGCAAATTGCTTTGCAAATCACAATAGCCAAAAGCAACAAAAGCTTCAAGGAATCAATCAAGGAAACAAATTTGTAAATCATACCTCACGAGCTATATGGAGAGCCATATCAGTGCTCAGATTTAGGTGCGCATCATTCAAATGCGAGAGTATCCACCCAGGCAACTTAGACCGTTTATCATGCCGACTGTATCTGTAAGCAAGAAAGGAATTTACCAAAGGTGAAACTTCACATAAAACATTAACACAGCAAGGAAATGAACACAACAAACAGCATTATGTGTCATGGAAGTATGGATGCAATTTTGCTGGAATTCAGATCTAAAAATAACTAAAACTAAGCTGTCTGCTTATGGTCCATAAGACCCAAAATAAAAGGAGTATGATATGCATAAAGGTCCATAACACATAAGTATCAAACCAAGCAATGGTTATTAAGAAAGTTGTTGGTGAAAAAAACACAGTGACCAAATGCACATTTTTTAGTTGGAAAGTTCACGTTTATGCATAATTTTAATACTTCATAAGCATGTCACCTTTGCTGATATTGTAATAGAGGTTTAAACTAAAGCAGCTTGTTTCCAGATACGTATATTGATAATCCACTGAGTAATCACTACTGGAAACTCGAATATTTCTATGAGTGATGATTTTTTCTATGCGTTTTTCTCTATACACAATTTTTCTGTGCGTTTCAAAAACCCCGACAGAAATATTCGAAAACCCACAAAAAAATTACGTGATTTTTCTGTGCGTGTCAATACATACAGAAAAATTAATATTATTCTGTCGATCTTTTCAAAACTCACAGAAAAACTATACACACAGAAAAGCTATAAAAAAAAAAAAACTAAACCTATCTTCAGACGCGGCCGCCCATCCGTATCCCAAGCGCGCGCCGCACCCGCCCGAGACCACGCCCGCACTCCCGTCGCTCCTAGGTCTCGCAGCTCTAGGCCCGCCGCCCCATCTCCAGATCCGGCGCCCGCAGGCCGCCGCCAGCCACCCCAGCCCCGGTTCGACGTCGTTCTCTGCAACCAACCGCTGCTCCTCCAGGGTGCAGCCCTTCCCGTGCGGCGCTCGGCCCGGCGTGCCGTCCCTCCTCTCCCAGGCGCTGCCCCTCCCCTCCTTGCCCCGCGCCGCCCCGGATCCACCCCGGATCCGCCGCAACGTCGCTAGCCCCGCTGCTTCCAGAAACCTCTCTTCGCTGGCCCAAGTAAAAAAAACAGCCGAGTCCCGCACCCCTCCGCCTCTCCCTCCTGCCCCCGCCCCTGCGCCCCATTTCCACCACCGCCGCAATGGCCTGCGCAGAATCCCGCAGCCTCCCCCATCGGCTTCTCCCCACCTGTGGTCGTCCGCGTCTCCGCCGCCGCGTCCGTGACCAGCTGTGGAGGGCACAGGTCGGGACATCTCTCCGCGCTTGCCTTGCTTCTCCGCATCCCCATGCTGACGACGGCTGCTGGGCGAGCAGCGCGCCACCGTAAGCCGGGTGCCCAGGTCCTCTCGCCGGGACCTTCTTCGGCGAAGAACGCCCCACCAGGTATGCCCCTTCTGTGCCCTTGCTGTTGCGCGAAACCAGAGCGTCCAAACCCTAACCTATGCTTTTTGGCTATTTGTATTCGGATCTATGCCTACTACTAGCTTTGATGTTTTTGTGCGAATTTACAGATCTTCATTTTCAATAGAGATAGCATCCGCTATCAAACCAACAGGTGAATTGTAGGTACTTTACTTCTGTTAGTTTAGCCATACTCCTCTACGTCTACCAATTACATTCCAAGATAGGACAAATAATAGAAGGCCAAGGCCTCTGACCTGCCAAAGGCATGGGCACAAAGCAGAATGAAAACTGAAACCAAATTTTAGTGGAACAATATTTTTGCTTCTGTAATTTATAAGATAGTATTCCTTTGGGCAATATGAACTCCCAAATGAAATGTACGCAATAAGCAGAGATAGTTGATCTCATCCTTTCGGTGATAAAGGCACTGCCATCTAAAATTGATGTACCTTCTGATAGGCGGCATCTCCCATTGATGATGCAGATAAAGTACAATTGCTCAAAGGTTAATTCAATTTTCCACGCAATAATTTTAACAACTTAAATTTTTCAGCATGATGATACCATTTGTTTGCAGGTTCCTTTTAATTTTCCTGAAGTTTAGGTTAATCCCCAACCTGTGCAGAGAGTAATCCTGCCTCCAAGCATTCTTGCTGCATACTTTTAGTACGCAGATTGCATCTTTAATTTAGTACGCAGATTGCATCTTTAATTCTTTTACTATGTGATTCTAAGGTTTACACACTATGCAATTTGTTGCCTTTCTTTGGAACACATGCATGGTTTTGTGCTTATTTTCTTTCCACCAGGTTCCGACGGAGCACACGGATTTGATTTTACATGATACGCACTGATTGCATTTGTTAATATTTTTCAGGGTGCAATCTACATACATTGAGGACTTCCACATGGTCACGGCTGATGACAATCGTTGGTTCAGCAAGCTGCACCTAAACAGGTCTTTTTTGGCTAATATTGTTTCAGTTCTACGATTTCTTATTAACTGCTCCCATCATAGGTAAGCTTGTATTGTTTGGTTGGCTGGTGACTTTTGGCTTGTCAGTTTTAGTTTTTGGGCGATACTGTGGCTGATGAGTCTCAGCTTCTATTGGCAGCATTCTATTAGCTGCAGGTAATTTTAGTAATGTTTTGCACTAATATAGTATGTGGTGGTCATTACTAGCTTTGTTTTATGTGTGCTGTTTCTACATATTTGTGTGGGAAACAAAAGACATATTTTATTTCCTACTATAGATTATAGTTGTCTGTAGGCTGTAGCTATTTTTGATGAATAGGCAATAATATATTTTGTTCCTTTCATGATCCCATAGTTCTTATCCATGTATGCTGTGATGATCTGATTTGTGTAAGTTGTAATTGTAATGTAACAGATTCACTGCTTATCTCTTTCTCGGAGGTAAGGACTATGGAAGTTACTAGTATGCACCTAGGACAACAGGTTAGTTGTAATTGTAATGTAACAGATTCACTGCTTATCTCTGCGCCTCTCGCTTCAGATGCGCTGCTGCTGCGGTGCTGCCCGCAACTTCTCCCTGCCTCTTCCCTTCCCTTTCCTCCCTGCTCTATGCCCTCAGGGATGGCAGCGGCTGCAGGTTCTTTGTCTTGTTGGCTAGCTCACCTCCCGTTCTTCCTATCTTCTCCGTCCATCCATCCATCTCTTTTGCTGATCTTTTTTGTCGTGGAGACCTGGATACCCAGAAACGCAGCGTGTCTCATTGCCTAGGCGATGTCTCAAACTGTTGTCTTGGTGGAGGTGGACCCCTCTCATCCGGTCTCCTTGGGGGTCTCCCAGGATTGTTTCTTTGGCTGCTCCAGTTACCAGATTTGGCACCCCATCCATCTGCTACATTGTCCCAAGAATCATTCTGTGCATCATTCTTCTAGATTGTCACATTACTCCATGAATCTTGCTGTGAATCAGGATCCTTTATAGCTACTACTTTGTCCCATGAACCATCCTGAGCGTTGTTATTGCGAGTTGCACTGTTAACCCAGGAATCCTGTAGTGCATCAGTGTTATCCCATGGACTTTCATTTGATTTCCCTGTATTCCATGTGTCTGATTCTTTTGGGACTTTCAGATGCTCATCAGACTCCATCTTATCTTTCTCACCCCAACTGGATCCTGCATTAGACTTGGCATTTGGTCTTCCAATTCCATCTCCAGCATTCCAAGCATTGCCTGATGGTGGCATCACATTGTTATAGGAGGAATCATGATCAGCATTTGTCTTCTTCCGTTTGTAAGTGCTTGGCTGCTCCTCCCATTGGCAGTTACCATCTGCCTTCTTTTTGCAGCTGCTCCACCTCCACTACTCCAGCCTCCCCAATTAGTGGAATGTTTTGTGAGTTTTCATTTCCATTTAGGTAGATATAGCAATTTAAGATATTTTGTTCTGTTTGCTGCTTTCTCTCAACTCTCTTGGTGCACGTAGGGGACTGGTGGTAAATTTCTCTGATCTACAGGAATTGCTCAATGGATGTTCTCAGCTAGAGGTAGGTTACAACTTACAAATGGTTCGATTTCATTCTCTGATCACTAGTGTGCCGACAGATTGGCACAGTCATTTGGTTTCTTTATTACATGAATAGAGGAAAGCATGCTCCTAGTGTTTATAATTGTCCAATTAATAAACTGAAGTCAACTGATATAGAAAGTTTGTGGTATACATACCATGATCTGTATCTTGCTTTATTTGTTATTACTTATTAGTTCTTGCTTTATATTAGTCATTGATGAGCCACTATGATCAGACTGTACACTTCTACTAGTGCATACCTTACTGATTTTGAATTGGCCTGACATTGTTCCAACCTTTTCAGAGTCTGAGATTGGCACTTGATTTCTCAACTTTTGATGACCCCAACTGTAAAATCAGTAGTAAGAACCAACTGCTTGCACTTGATAAATATGAGCTTATTTTATTGTCATATAACAATCTGATTTGAATATGTATGATTCACTTGCAAGGTGGTTAGCAATGTCAAATGGCCTGTTTAGAAACTTATTTTATTCACTTGCAAGAGTATGTTAGATTGACAATACTACTATACTTATTTTATTCACTTGCAAATTGCATTAGCTATAGTATTGTGCAACTAGTTAATCCATTTGAAGTAATGCTGCGATGCTCGTTGACGATTATAGTGCTCGATCACTGGCTTGGATCATCCGATGTTCCTCGATGCTATGAATCGATAGATATGCCACCAGTGAAATTAGGGACCTAGCGTGCCCAGCAAATTCTCTGCTGCTTTAGCTTGGCTCCATAATGAATAGAGGTTGCTAATCGAGGGCAATGTCTTAAGTTAACCTATCAAATTCGTTGGCTGTGTAGTCGTCTGTTCCAATGGTTTACTGTATATGGTGATGCAACAAGTCAAATCATTCGGAGTCATTCAGTGGTAGCAGCATTGTGTCATCATGAGTTGGCATATGTGTCTAGGGACTATGATCTGGGTTTGGGTGTCCACTGAAGCTTCAGTTTTCCTCAATGATGTGTACAAGCAGCATTTTCAGCATGCGAAAACTGAATCAGTCGGGTTCATTGGTGGCATTAGCAGGGCTATTTGTGAAGTTGGCTGTTTCAGGAATAGCATCCATGATGCGATTTATCAATTGATAGTTGCAAGTTGCCTGTGCTTGATGAATGTGATTGGTTTGAATAAGATTTTCAGATTATGCTCTGTGGTGCTTCCCATGTTGGAACTGATCTGCATTGTCGGTTGTCTGTTAAAGTTTAGATCGTTATCTGCATATGTCTAGGGCTTTGGGTTTGAGACCTCATGGTATTTGGCATTATGAAACTGTCCTGTTACTTATAGTGCAGGACTTAGCCACGAATAATATGCAAGGTTTCATGAGTGTGTATGCATTGTCTTTTATGTACCTAACCTAATATGATTGCCGCTCCTTTGAATGAGAGTCTCATACTTTGAAAAATTGGTTTGCTCACTTTTCTTTCTTTTTTAATCTTCTTTAGTTAATTTAATAGTGTACTATTTCTAGACTCATGAATGTATTAGTTGATCTTCAGCAATAATCTAATATATTAAGGTGGCTGCGTGATTTGTTACATTCTTGTTTTATTAGTGTGCTATTGTTGTAGTATGTTTGTTGACAGTCTTCTTGTACATATTCCCAATATTGTAGTCGAATGAGCAAAACAGTGGAGAATATTCTCAATCTGAAAACAACATGGTAGAGACTGCGCAAGGGCATGATAAGGAGACTACCCCTGGACCTGTAAAAGCTACCAAGAGGATAAAAAAACTAAAGGCTTCTAAACACAACTTGGGCACCTCAAATTCTGGAGCAATTGAAGGTATGTTGTTGCTAATTTTCTTATTTAACTTACATGTTCTGCATCATTTGTTGGTAAAAGTTCCATGTTGCCATTTCTAATCGGATTCGTTCATTTAATGGCCATTTATTGGCTTTTACTTGTAGCTGATGGGCTCACATTTTTTTATTCAGGAGATGCTGATCCTTCTTTATCTTCATTAAACCACTGCCGCTATGACAACTCACTAAGTTTGTTCTCCCGTTCTCCCCTGTACCAAATTTAAGATGCTATCTTCGCTTGTTTATTTATCATTAGCTTGTTAACAGGTCTGCTGACAAAGAAGTTCATCAACCTGCTTCAAGGAGCTGAAGATGGGACCCTTGATTTAAACAAAGCAGCTGAGACATGCTTGTTAACAGGTCAGGCTCAGGCTCGGGCAGGCGGAGGTAGCCTGTCGTTGTCTATTTTTTATATAAGTGTTGACTATTTGTGTATTATTTGAATGAAACCTTATTGGTCATGCACAGAAAGTACTGTATGGA